GAAAATTCGACTTATTTATTTGAAACCTTATGAAAGATTATGAAAAAATTAACCTTTCATTAATTTCAAATTCAAGAAATATTACACAGCTTCACTCAAAAAAAAAGTGTATTTTAATGTAAAAGAAAAAGAAAGAAGATATTTTGAAAGAATTGAGAAATATAATTTTTATATTTTTTTATTTTCATTGTTAAAACATCAAATACTTTTTTGTTTGTAATTTTGAATAATTTTCTTAATTATTAAACTAAAAAAGTGCAATGATAAAACAAGAACATCATATTTATTTATTTAAAATTTTTTTTTTTTTATTTTATTTTATTTCATTTATTTTTTTACTTTTATTTTTTTTTTTTTTGGAAAAAAAAAAAAAATGGTTGTTAAATTAACTATTCAGAAATAAAGTATATCTAAGCAAAAATTTAGAACATTCCTTTTTTTTTTTAAAACTTGAATTTTTTTTTCTTAATATTTTTTTTTTCTTATTAATTCCTAATAGAAAGTTTTAAGCCTTGAGTTTTAAAAATTTTAGTGATTTGAGCAGATTTCAACATCCCAGGAAATTCTCTAGCGGTAATTGCAACAAACGTATTTGAAAAAATTTCAGCTCTAATTGAAGTCTTATTAGCTAAACTAGCAGGTTTATCGGGGCTAATCAAAAAAGGAAAAACTTAAATAAATTCAGTATAAGGTTGTATACTTTTCCAAATCATAAAAAGTAAATTTCAATTTATACTTTCCTTGATATCTTATTGAAATGTCGTTAAAAACAAAAAAAGTGCCAACACGACCTAAATCATCAGTCTTTTTGATATTTGTTTAAATTTGAAAGTTAAATTTATCACATTAAAAAGTGCAATCAATTCATAATACCAAAATTCTAGACCCTTCCATCAAATCACCTAAAATAAGTGGTAACTGATTTCCATTTTTTTTGACGGCTTTTGCTTTTGAAAGTCCGTCTTCATCCCTGAAAGTTTAGTTATTTACTGAACTTTCGTTATAAATTAATTTTTTTTTACCAAAGATCACATCTCATCGAATAATAGCCACTTTCCTTAATACTTGATAATAAAAAAAAGAAAAATCTTTAAATTTCATTTAATAAATTTGTTTTATACACTGGGTATAATTGACCTTCTTCGTCAATCTCAAATAGTTCCACAATAGGAGGCTGGAAGAAGATTAAATACAAAAAAATTATATTTTACTGGATCAACAGATCTTCTATCTTTATTAGTATTTCCACACATTCTAGCATGATAAGGTTGTTGTCTCATAACCAGTCCATAGCTTTTTTAGTAAGAAAAAAAAAATTAACAAAATCTAATAAGGATAATAAAAAAATAGGGAAGGAAATATAAAAATTTTTAAGAGAAGAAAAAAAATAAATAAAAAAGAATAAAAAAAAAAGAACACATTACTTTTTTGAACCAGTATAGGCACGGCGATTCATTGTTCTAGCAGAAGATTTCAGTAAGGTTGATTCATCAACAGTTGTAGGGTTTGTATAGTCCAGTTTGATTTTTTTAAAGTTGTTTTGGTTATCAGGGGGTTCAGAAACTTTTGAAGTATTTAAACTTTCATTAAAGTTATCATTGTTAGAATCATATGTAAAAATAGAATTATTATCGTTAATATTTTTTGGTATATTTTTATCATTAGTTAAATTACTTCTTTGCTTGGGACTTAGTAATCCAGTTATATTAAAGTTAGTAATCATTTTTAAATCCATAAAATGGATTTTTTTTTTAGTATTTTATTATGGAAAATTAGAAACTGTTTTTTTTTTTTTATGTACTTTTACAAAATTTATAAGATTCCAAAATAAAGAAAAAAAAAAAGAGGGAGAGTTAACTTTTTAAATTTTTTTAATAAAAAAAAAAAAAAAAAAAATAGGATTTTAACAGTAGTTAATAAGAGAAAATGCAGCAGATTGAAGTTAAATTTTTACCTTTAAAAATTTTAGTTGCTGCAAGTTCGAAACTTATTGAAATGGAGTTGAAATGGACGTTTTTGGACACCTTTGGAATTTTCTTTTTGTTCTTTGATTCTGAAACCCTAAGAGTTACACATTACCAATGTGCCCTTAATTACATTTGATAAAAGTACATAAAATCACATTCAACTTATTTACTATTACTACTCTCGATTCAATTGGAAAGGTAAATTTACTAAATTTTGCCGAGATATAACTGGAGAGAACTGCTTGATGCTAACACTACCATTCCAGAAGTGGTTATTGAATTAATGGTGGTATTACAGCCATCTAAACTGTTTTGACAATAATCCAACTTTAGCGGTAAGATTGTTATCTAAACTGTTATTTTCGGTGTCTGTACTATTGTGGATGACGAAGGAAAGGAAGAAGAATAATAACTCAACGGTGATATTTCTTGATTGTCCTTTTGGAACCTGCTTTGACCATGATAACAATCTTGATTAGGTTTGCCATAAAACTCATTGGAATCATTAGATAGAGAGTAATTTCTACAAATATCTGTAATATTGTTGTGTAGCATCAATGCAATTATACTTTTCATCAATTTTTATCCAGACTAGTCCTTTTACATATTTTTTCGTATACTATCGTTGGAGTATTAATTAAGTAAAATTCTTCAGATAAATATCTAATTGTTTGATCATAATCTGCATTGGAAAAATTCAAGCCACCACTATTAATAAGCATATCATCTGATACGAATTGAAGGGAATAGCGCTGCTTTTGCTTGGCTAGGGTATACACAATCTACATCAAACAAGAGTTCAGTGGAGAACAACAATTAAAAGTAACTTAGAAAGAGAGAGCGGAGGTGTGTATTGGAGATTGCAACAGAATTTATCGTTATTTCCAATGACAGAAGCTACCGATACATACACATAATTTTAAAAACTAACATCGTTTTTGGTACTGCTTCTGAATCTATAATATCAAAACTTGTAAGTGCTATCATCTTGGGTTAAAGATGCACTAGGAGTGTCAACTTTACTTTCCGCCATTGAAGTAATTAATATGTAAAATTACTATAATATACCATACCACTATAGTTGTAGTAATTATTTACCTAACAACTCTTTAAAAAAAAAAAGCTAAGTAAATAAAAAGAATTAAAATTATTTCTACATCTTTTTAAATTTGAATGGCTAAATTAGATCGGTAGAACATTTTGCTGAGAGAAATCAGAATCAGGAAAGTGAAAGAAAATTGCCAGCCTCACTCAATTCAATGCAGACGGTGAATCTTTGTGATGATTTTGAATATGAATCTTGATTCCTATTTTAAAATATTAAAAAGTTTCAAACTGCGAAAACAATCCAGAAAGAATCTAGAAACAATCCTGACTACATCCATCACATCTACTATTTAATAAACCAAAATCAACTTTTTTAAGCTTGTAGGTTTGCCAAACTTATTTTCGAATATTCAAAAATTTCGAAATATAATAATTTGGACAAAGTTGATATTTTGTAACTGGTCAATTCTTATAATTCTTAAGGGAATTACCTGATCAAGGCAAGGGTTTCAAAATTTTTGATGCCTACGCCATCCCGGTACGGAAAAATTTTGGTAGGCGTTATTGGCGCATTGTCCTGACGCAAAAGGTATTCAGAAGTTGTGGCTTTACGTAGTGCGGTGGTTTTAGGGTGAAACAGGGTTACTTATTGTATTAGATAAGCAGTAACCGGCGTTCTACTTAAATAATATAATAATAAGAAGAGTATAAAATAGATCAAGTTATAAGTCTTTTATTAATTGAACAAACAAGCAAGGGTTTCTTTGTTACACAAACCCTTGTAAAATACATGACACATATTTTTGTTTTTTGGAAGTTGATACGAATTTTAATTTGTAGAAGGGAAACAATAAGTTCAAGTACTATATTGGAAATTTGGACTTAAACAATATGCGTCATACTGCAAAAAAACATATACAATGCTAAACTAAGAAAATTAGAAAATGAAAGTATTAGTCTTGAAAAATCACTGGTAATTCACTGAAATCATCATAAAAAAGGATTTCCCACCTCATTTCGGAAACCGTCATTTTAGAAAAACCAATCAATTAATAAAATGTAACATGTATTCCTTTGTAATCCTTTGTTTTAGTTGATTAAAGTCTTAACTTGGGAGGTCAAGTGTGTGAATAAAAATAAAATGGCTAAAATTCCATGAAAATAAAATAGCTTAAAATGATTGTTCCATGAAAAATAAAATGATAATTAGCTTTACAAGAATGGCTCCAATAGCTTCAGCACCAGAATTAAACACAATTAAACTCATTATCTTTTCAATTTTATAACTTGCTGTAAATACTGTATAAATTAGATATTCCAAATGGTAGTTTTTTTTTTTTTTAATATTTTCTTGTTTTTTTTTTTTTAATAAACCATTTTTTTTTTTTTTTTCAATTTTTAATTTTCTGTTATTTCAAATTTCCCACATTACAAAAAAAAAGTTGCTTAAAAATTAAAATTGTTCAAACTTACATTAGAGATATTGTGATTAGCTACTGCCAATATGTCATTATGGCAAAAGTGTTGAAGAGCCGATACTAGGAACTGAGTCAGGATTAGGAGGTTCTGGTGGTCTGAATAATTTAGAGATTCTGGTGGAATGGTTGGTGCAGGTGTATAAATTACTGGTCGCATGATTAAAATAAGTGAAACCATTTTCTTTGATTAACCAGTGTAAATTAAAGTAATTTGAATTTGTAAAATAATTCAAAAACTCCAGATATTTTTCATTTTTTAAGATTTAGTGGCATCATTTCCAACAAAAATTAATCAAATCAACAAAAAATATATTTTATATACAAAATTCTATTCAAATTATTATTATGTATTTTTATGCCAATTCCCTGTTAAAGATTTTCATTATTATTATCAATTTTGCATTTAGAAATAAAAAAGAAAAGCAAAACGAAAATTAAGTTTCTCCTTCATCTATTGAAAATAAATGTATACTTTGAGTAGTATTTTTCAAATGAAAAATATAAATTTCACCCCATCCGGGATTTGAACCCGGGCCTTCAGCGTGAGAGACTGATATCCTAACGACTAGATGAATGAGGTGATTGCTAATGTTAAAGGTTTTACGATATTTGTTTTTAATTAATTAGTTTTAGTATATAAACCTAAAAGTCGTTACACAATAATCTCTAGATTATTTTATAACGACTTTAGGTATTAAACTTAGTAATTCTTTTTAATTAATAAAGATTATTTTATAACGACTTTAGACTATAATATTTATAATCCACGAAAAGCATAACACTAATGCTAAAAGCTTTACAATATTTGTATTGTAACTCTAGTATATACTTAGAACGTTACCTACTAATCTTTAGACTATTTTATAACGACATTAGGCAATGAACTTAGTAATTCTTTTTAATTACGTAGGATTATATTATAACGACGTTAGACCATAATATTAATAGTCCACGAAAAGCATAACACTGTTAAAGTTTCTGCTTACATATGTTTTATATATGGAGTTGATGAGGAGCTCTTTTTTTATCGTACTGTTTGTTTAAATTAGTTATTATTATTCTATTTATTGTAATAGTTATCTATCACAATACCGAATACCACAGAAAATTCTTTAAATAAGTATTATTGATATAAGAGAAAGTAATTTGACTCCATCAATATCTACATGAACTTCTAGGTCTATAGAAAAGGAATGCAACCTTATTTCCCTATTATCTCTTATAACATTTTTCTAAGAAAAAAATATACTATACACTACATGATATGAATCTATTGCAGATTCAAAAACGTAGACATACTTCTGGTTTCGTAACTGCATTCAGCCATTAGTATTTTATTGGTAATCTAAATCGTTAATAATCTGACATTCTTTTTCTTCACACAAAACTTAACTGAAATATTTATAGAAGCCCAATGAACTTATGAGAGTTATTAGAGTTATTAAACAATATACCCTTGTGTAAAACAAAAACGTTGTTGAAAATTTTTTTAAATAAACTTGAAAAAAAAAAAATTTAATTTTTTGTAAAATTTTTTTTTTTTTTTTTGAAAAATTTAATTTACATTTGAGTAAATGAACAAGTTAAATTTATTGGCTATGACAAAGCCAGAATTATACAAAGTTATTCCCGAAAAAATCCCTTCAATGAAGAAATTTAATATTAATCAAATTCAAACACACATTTTTAAACATGGAAGACCCGATATTGAAAGATTTGTAAATCTATCAATGGAACATAGAAATTGTTTAAACCAGCATTTTGAAATGAGTACACCTATACTAAAGGTTTTTTTTTTTTTTTTGCGTTAAAAAGTTTTTAACCTAAAAAACAATCTAAGGATGAACAAATTTCAAAAGATGGAACTAAAAAATGGCTTTTAAATTTTGGAGGTGATGCTGACATTGAAACTGTATTTATACCTGACTCTCATTCTAAGAAAGTCGATTTTTTCAAAGGCACTTTATGTGTAAGGTGAAGAAACTTAATACTTTATGAATAAATACCTTAAAAAAAATTACCTATTTTTTAAATTTTTAGTTCTCAAATTGGCTGCTCATTAAACTGCAGCTTTTGTAGAACCGGAACTCAAAAGTTAATGCGAAATCTTCAATCACATGAAATAATAAACCAAGTTTTATTTGCTTTGAGGCAGCTTGGCGGTAAAAAATATGCATATTTTTAAAAAAACTATAAAGTTTAAAAATTTTTTTTCATTTATTATTTTGTTTAAAAATTTTAAAAAAATTTTCTATTTTATTTACTAGGATTTCCATTACCTGTGTCTAATGCCAAAATTGTAGATAACATTGTTTTAATGGGTCAGGGTGAACCATTATATAATTTTGCTAATGTGTCGAAAGGTATATTATTTATTCCAGACTTGTTACTGATAATTTTTTATTTGAAATTAAAAGCTTGTCGGAGTATAATGTAAAAATAAACTACGAAAAATTTCTTTTTTTTAACGAAAAAAAAAATTGTTTTTATACAGAGAAAATCTTAATTATTCTCCTTACCGAATAACATTATCAACAAGTGGAGTGGCACCTTTAATTCCGAAAGTTACTACAGAAATAGGTAATGCAACAAATTTTTTACATAATGTAAAATTTGAAAATTGACAGGATGCTCCTTAGCTGTATCTCTTCATGCGCCTAATGACTCTCTTAGGGATGTCTTAGTACCGATAAATAAAACGTATCCCTTAAAGATATTGATGACTTCTATACAACAGTATTTAAGATTACATCAATATAATAAAAATAGAAGAGTTACATTTGAATATGTGATGTTGGATGGTGTTAATGACAGTGATGTACATGCAAAAGAATTAATTCAATTAGTGGGGTATATGCCATGTCACGTAAAATGTAAAAAACACAGTGATTATAACCTCTTTTTTTTTTAAAGATAAACTTGATGAGTTTTAATCCTTGGAAAGGTTCAAGATATACAAGCTCTCCCAATAATAGGTTTTCTTTTTTCTACTGTAAAAATAAATATTAATCGCTTACTTAGAATTGAAGAATTTGCGGCAATTTTAAGAAGTGCCAACATTGCAACTACTGTACGAGTAAGTAGAGGATCAGACATTTCTGCCGCTTGTGGACAGTTAAAATCAAAAAATGAATCAAAATATTTACGAAATAAATAAATTTAACTTAATGAATACCACTAATTTTTACTAGAAAATTTTTTTTTTTGTTACTGTCTCGATTATGCAAATTAAATTATAGAAAAATTTTTCAGTTGTTGATAAACCTTAATTCAATAAAAACAATAAAATAGATATTATAATGTGATTAAAAATAAAAAAAAAATTTTTTAAATTTTTTAAATTTTTTTTTTTTTT